CGGCGTCCCCGACGAGAACAGATTGGTCCTCAACGATGTGGGTGTCACCGCTAGGCATCTTGCTCATCATCTACGCCCCCCAGTTTCTTGGGCGGCTTCGCTGAGGTAGCGCGTTTGCGCCACACGTGCTTGGCCACCCATGCAACCGTGTGGTACTCCTGCAGCGTGACGGTGACAGAAACGGCATCATGGCTGTCATCGGCAATCACCAACGCGGGCAGCGGGAACCGTGTGTGTTCCGTTATGCACTGGACGAGGGCCCCCGCGGGCGTGGGACACCACGCATACTGCTCCTCATCCGCATCGTTGGAACCCCCTGCTGGGCTTCCACTCCGGCCAGCATCGTCACGAAGGTCTGGGGAAAGAAGTCGTGCGGGATAGTCTAGGCTGGCGCCCGGGGTCTCTGCGAGGCAATCCATTTCGCGGAGCCTATCGGTCTGTGGCGCCGCGGCGGCGTGCTCGGCTGGAGCGGTCGGGGCCGTGGCGGCGGGTGCAGAAGCAGGCGAGGTCCCAGGGGCCTCGGTGCACCCGAGGGGGTCACCGTTGCTGTCGGCGCCCATCGCGGGGGGTCCGCCAGGGCGCGTGCCGGGGACGGCTGAGGCCGACTCGATGTCGCCTCCGCCCTACCGGGGGCCCTGGACTCCGCCGGCCCTTTGTCTCTAGGCGTGTGAAATGGTTCCCCCCTCATAAACCCCCCCAAGAGACCCCAAACCGGAGATTCGACCCCCCCCCAGCCCCGGGGCACCCATGCCCGAACGCGCCATGGGGGAGCAGAGGGCCCCACAACGGGCCAAAAGCGCAACAACGGGCCCCCGAGACGGTCCAAGAAGGCCCCGACTCGCCGAAAGATCGAGCCAAGACGCCCAAGATGGCATCCAGACGATCTCAGATGCCTCCAAGACGCTCCCAAACGCGTCCACAAGGCTTTCATATGCGACCAAGAGGCGCCCCAAGAGGTCCCCAACAAGCAAAACTCAGCCATTCCCTATGGTAAAACGCACCCTTTTGATATATGCGGTCTTTGAGCTTTCACGGCGTCGAAAACGGTTCCAGAAGCTCACAAGACCGCCCCAAGACGGCCCAAGAAGCGCCCAAGAGGTCCCCACGAAGGCCCAAGAGGGCGCCAATACAGCCCAAGAGGCGCCCACGACGGCACAAGAGGGCCCCAAGACAACACCAAGAGGGGGACCACAAGCCGAACATCCAAGCCATTCGCCCCGACAATGTCCGAGGAGGCTCGAATAAGCCCCCAAGAGGCCCCCGAGAGAATCCCCAAAGGCCCCCAGAGGCCCCCAAGACGCACCCAAGAGGCGCCCACAAAGCTCCAAGAGGCCCCCAAAAAGTCCAAAAGAGGCCCCCAAAAATCCCAAAACGGCTTCCAAAAGGCTTCGAAACTGCCTCCGCGAATCTCGCGAAAAGCCAGACCCCCTTCCGCCTCTCGCCCATACTCCCTCCTCCTCCTCCTCCTCTTCCTCCTCCTCCTCCTCCTCCTCCTCCTCCGCTTTTGCATTATTTGCGTTCCTCTGTTCCTCGGCTTCGTCCTCCCACTCGCTCGGACCCCCTGCTCCTGCTTTACTGGCCATGGCACCGGCGCGGTACTGGTATCATTCGCACGCCATGCATTTCAAGGTGCCCTTCTTCTCGCCACGCGCGACATTGCTCGCGTCCGCGGAGAAAACCGACTTCGCACAACGCCCGACGCAAACTACACGCGCACACACGAAGAAAAAACACCGTCCCGGGAACCGTGAGTCACTACCTACACCATGGTCGAAACCCAATGTGAAAATTAATTCTCTGGATGGAAGGGCCAACCATGTGAACGACGCGTGGGTTAAAACGTCATTACAATCGCCTTTGCTAGCGCCCACCCGCTCGGGTAACCCACCCGCTCGGGTGGCCCGCCCGCCTGGGTGACCCACCCACCTGGGTGACCCACCCGCCTGGGTGACTGTCGTGGCGCTGTAAATATTTTTACACAGCGGAACTGTGCTAAATCGAAAAATGAACGGTGCAATCCAAACGTAGAGCTTCTCTATCTGCATACAAGAGCCTTTTGGGGGTTCTTCGGGATCTCTTGGGACTTCTAAGGAGCCTCTTGGATGCCTCTTGGGACCTCCTGGGCGCCTCTTGAGTCCCTCTTGGAACGCTCTTGGGAGCCTTCGGAGCGCTCCCGGGGCCATTTGGGAGGAGATCGATCAAAGCAGGGGGGAAGCTTCAATTGGCGTTACCCCACAGGGGCCCCAAACATCGCCTCTTGGGAATCTCTTGAAGCATTCTTGGCGCGCTCTTGGGCGCTTTTCGAGTCGTCTTCGGGCTCCCTTGGGCTCGTCTTGGGGCCCTCTTGGTCCATCGTGAAGCTATATTGCGGCCTCGGATGGCCATCAGAAGCGAAAAGGCGAGAACGCAACAATCATGTGGTTCCTCTTGGTGTTTGAAGGATGTTGGCCTCTTCGAGACCTCCCTGGGAAGCTATTTGGTTTCTTGGCGTCTCCACGGTGCCAAGCAATCGTCCAGGGGTCCGCCCGAAGCAAGTTTCCCCCCCCCGGGGTCACAGTACGCTGATAGAGCATGCCACGCTCACTGGGACGGGCGATGCACCGCGCAAATTGCACAACATGATCTGTCAGCACCGTACTCGCGCCGTGCAACCGGAACGACGAGGGATTTGCAAGAAGACCCCAAACAACCAAATCTGGCCTTCAGAACACAGCACGAAAAAGGCTTCCACACCGCCAGCAGCATCCACAACGGCCCACATTGACCCGCATCGACTCCCCGGGTAACTCAAAGGGGCGGCGGATGTGGCGCAAGCCTAAAGAATGTGTATATATATATATATGTACATACATATACATACACATGAAACTGCAAATTCCTTAAGAATTCACAAGAGCGCGCACAAAATTTTAGAAAATCCGTGTTGCGAAACTCTGTGTGTTTGTATGTTGTTTGAACACTCGATTTTGACATCTTTCGGAAACCGACGGTTTTTGAAGGACTTCGGCATGCGCTCGCGACGGCGCGCGCGTGTGCACTTCGTCCCATTTGTTGCCAAGGATTCTTGAAAACTTGAGAGTGTTGATAAACGGGTGCGCGCACATTGTATTCTTTGCAGAGGATGGCGGGGGGGGGAGAATACCAGCCTAGCTGGGATAGTATGATTTCAGAATTAGGATGGACGATGGACCAGAATCATATGTAAATTGAAATACGAAAAGGGGAATGGGTCAGTCTGGGGAGGGAGGGTGCTAGAACCTATCTCTTGTGCAGAAAAGGAGTATGTTTGTAGTGTAGTCTAACACTGCAGAGCAACGCAGAGTAAAGCAGAGCAATGCGAAACCATGCCAAACAATGCGAAGCACTGCAAAGCAATGCGACGCAATGCAAAGCAATGCGAAACAATGCAAAACGGGCGGCGACGAGGCGGCGGCCACCGAAAAGGGCGGCGACGGCGACCACATAGCCGCCAGACCGTCGGGCAAGCCCAAAGCCCAGAACGACGGGGCGGTGACGGCGACCACGTAGCCGCCAGACCGACGGGCGACGGGCAGGCACAGAAGACAGGCGGCGACAAGGCGGCGACGGCGACCACATAGCCGCCATGCCGACGGGCAGGCCCAGTACCTTAGAAAAGAAATTAATTGTCTCACGAATTGACGGTCCGAATGCCTAGATAACCATCTGACTTCTGATAAAACAACAACTTGTCTACATATATATATGTATATATATATATGTGCAGCAAGTTAGTTAGACAGTCCCCTGAATCACAACACCTGCACCGGACACAAAAAACAACCTGGCTATATATCTGACTATCCGCCACCACGCCTTGGATCACGAAGTGGAGTGTCCTCATTCAGGCTCATTCAAGGCATCTGCACAGAGTATTTGTCTAAGGGCCCAGACCATGAAGTTCCACCTTTGTTGGACGCCCATTTTCAGAGCGCCGGTCGTCTCATTGGCTTCGAAACATTACGCCTCGCTGATTCTCCCCTCATTGACAGAGCGCCATTCTGATCTTCGGCCTCAACACATGCGCAATCGCTCCCGTGTTTCTCGTCACGCGAGGCCAATAAGCAGAACGGCGCTTTGCTAAGGAAGGCATGAACAATCTGAGAGTGGTACTCTGGAGGTTCCGTGTTAGCAGAGCGACGCTCTGCTCACACGCGCCGAAGAAGTGAAGAATTAACTGCGCATGGTTTAAAGCCAATTAGCAGAAGGGCGTTCTGTTAATCGGGAAACAGGTCAGTCAAACATTTGGTGTTTGCGGATTCCGATTCGTGTAAGTATCAACACGATTGCCCCAAAAGGCCTCTTCTCCGTGACCCCAGCACATCCTACGAAATCCAATGCGACCATCATCATCCACCCCCCTGCGCATTCTCATCGTTTCCTCGTCCCCCGCCTTCCCCTCCCTCCACGTCCACGTTCTTCCCACCCTCCTTGCCCTGGCACGGATGCCGAATACTTGCGTCTCGGTCCCCAGGATCGCCTGCGTACACACGGAACGCGCTCAGGTGTCTTTCCGTGCCGCGTTGGGCAAGCAACCGCACGCTTATCAGGAAGAGAAAGCCAAAAGAGAGAGAGAGAGAGAACAATATATATATATATAACAAAGAGACAGGGAGGGCGAGAGAGACAGGAAAACAGAGACACAGAGGATAGGGCGAGGCGAGTGGTGCAGCAAGAAAACCAAAGCAACAAATGCAAGGACAAACGCTGACCGCGAAAGAATACAATTGGCACATGGTCGGCTCCAACGAAGCTGGGTCGAACACTCTTGGCATACATACCAAGGAAAACGATTTTCACTTCCGTCAACTTCCGCTAGCCTTTCTTTCAACTTCTGCCGGACTCGGCTCGCCTTCGCCAGCCTTCCGCTAAAGAAGGACAACTCAGACTGGCGATCCCTCGAAAACGAAACCCGTTCTCGAACGCCCTTTGTCAACCGCGTCGGCTTGTCTCGCGACTTTCCGGCGGGGGGAGGCCAGCGCCTGCAAGGTCGGGCGTCTCTCCAGCGAGCGGCTCCAGCCACAGTTCCTGCAGAGTGCGGCCGCAGAGGGCCCGAAGACAGGCGGGGGAGGAGTGTCTAGGTAGGACGAGAACGATGCGATGATATGATTGGAAGCTAGGTACGCCCCAGGAACTCCAAAGTACCCAGCGGCCTTCGATTCTGGAGTCCGCGCGATACTACGGGAAAATTTGGAAACCTTGTCGCGCAACATAATGGCCTACTGCTGCTCTCAATTTTGCAACCGCGCCTCCCGGCAGTCGATGCGGAGGAGGCTGTGTGAGGCAGCTTTTCTGCCAAGGTCCGCCTCGAGGTCAAACAAACGCTGACAACCAAACAACATCAATGCCACGCCGGTCGGACGACTTCACCAACGTGTTGCTAGTCAAAATCGATGCATACATTGCCTCGTGCAAATGGTGAACGCGTAACAAGCGCTGTTTGAAAGACGGCACGCGCGCCATTGATACTCTGATCCCTCTCACCTAATGGCACGGCGCGTGGCTCATCTCCTCTTCGCATTTCACTGAGAGAGAAGCATGGCTCGCAACGTCCCAGCCTCCCTCGCGCTTGGGAACAGCAAGAGATGTCCACATTCGTACGCGGGCTGCCCCGGGCGAAACCAGGGGGTGGTTGGGGAGAAAGCTGGGTGCGCAGTCCGTGATCTCTCGGTTCATTCCTCGGGCTGCTTTCCTCGAGGAATGTCATACTGCTGCTGACAGCGAAACCTCCCAGGTTTCACGAATTTGTTGTTATACTAGTGTTGCCCATGCGTATCACGCACGTGCAATCAGCGCAGTCTCTTCCTGTTGACACACTGGCAGCGTGAACGCCCAATTCAATGCAAGCCCGAAGGTCTTTGTACTCGTGCACACTCCGCCTCCGTAGACGTGTGTCGTGACGCCGGATGGCCTTAGACAGCTGGGGATCACGACAGCCATACGAGATAGAAAAAACAACTAAAACAATAGTTATCCGGGATAGCTACAAGTAGCGTTTACTTAGCTTTGGAAGCGACGGGAACGCGCTCGCGGGATGTGCAACGTCGAGCCCGCGGCGGCGACGCGGCGAATCAAACCGCGGCCCCGCGCGCCAGTAAATCAACAAGGAATGCCGCGCGGGTTCTGAGCGCGACGCCACGGCGATGGTCGCGACGCGGTTTCGCACGCGACACACCTCAATGCCTCTTTCACCTCTCCCTCCTCAACCCCTTCACCAGCCTCCCCCTTCCTCGTCTCGGCCCCCCTCCTCCTCATCATCATCCCCCTCTTTCGCCCGACCCCCCCCCCCCTCTACCCGTCGCGCGCCCATCTCGCCGTGCCGCGGCGGCGCCTTCTCTTGCCGCGAACCCCATCTCCCGCCGTTCCCGCTCCTTCCCCTTCGCCGTCGTTGTCTTCCTCCGCCGCCCCCGTGCCCCTCCTCCTGCTCGCTGCTCGCCCGCCCCCCTCTTCCTCCTCCCCATCCCCCGTCCTCCTTCTCCTCCTCCTCCTCCTCCTCCTCCTCCTCTTCCTCGTCCTCCACCTCCTCCTCCTCCTCCTCCTTTTCCTCCTCCTCCTCCTCCTTCCATCCTCCTCTTCCTCTTCTTCGCCCCCCCCATGCGCCCGTCGGTCGCGCCGGGCCCGGCCGCGCAGGCGCGCGTCGCGCATTCGGGCCCAACCGCGCCGGAGCGTTTGTCGGCCTGGCCGCGCCGGCGCGCCACTGTGCATTTGGGCCCGGCCGCGCCGGCGCGCGTCGCAAATCACCCAGATCATGCGTTACCCGAAAATTTGGGTAACGGTTAGCGGTCTCGGTCGTTTGCGGCTTCGGTACCCAAGTCGGTAACGGTTACCGGTCGCTACCGGTCGCTACCGGTCCTGCGCGGTAACGGTTACCGGTCGCTAGCGGTAGCGACCGGTAGCGACCGTCAGAGTCGCGCGTGTTGTCTGTCCAACAGCAGCATCTGGCGTCAGATGCTGCACTTCGTGAAAAAGAAGTCTGATCTGACGTCAGACTGACGTCAGATCTGTAGTCGTAGCTGTTTTACCAGGGCATCATCAAGTTTTAACTGTAATCTCAAATATATGTGTAGCGTTAACGTAGTCATGTCCTTCCCCCTTCCACCTCTTCATCTCCCCCATAGCGAAGCCCTCGCAAAACCTTCTCCTGGTGCCTCCCCCTCCTCCTTCTCATCCTCCTCTTCCTCCTCTTCCTCATCCTCCTCCTCCTCCTTCTCCCTCCGATGGTCCTTTCTGTGCGCCCCAGCGTTCCATCTCCTCTGGCCCGCCAGTAACCATGTTCAGCAGTCCTCAGTAGGTCCCGTTCTCTGGATGGCTCTTCTCTGGGTGGCCCTTCAGTAGTCCTCAGTAGTCCAGATGGCCCGTTCTCTGGATGGTCCTTCAGTAGCCATTTCGGCTCGGTCGCTGCCAGCGGCGAGGGCTCCTCGGTCGCGCAAGCGATGCCGCTGGTGATCCAGGCGGTGCCGAAGCGCAGGGCGCTGGTGGTGCGGCCGCGGCCGAAACCGCGGCCGCTCCCAGCGCCGCTCCCCAAGCCGCTCCCATAGAAGCGGCCCAAGCCTCGCCCGAGGCAGAAGCCGATGCCGCGGCACAAGGCCGCGCCACAGCGGCCGCGGCAGCAGCAGCAGCAGCAGCCGCAGCAGCGCAGCAGCAGCGCCGCAGCACCAGCGCAGCAGCAGCAGCAGCAACAGCCGCAGCAGCGCAGCAGCAGCAGCAGCAGCAGCACCAGCGCAGCACCAGCGCAGCAGCAGCAGCACCAGCGCAGCACCACCAGCGCAGCAGCACCAGTGCAGCGCAGCACCACCAGCGCAGCAGCACCAGTGCAGCGCAGCAGCACCAGCGCAACAGCACCAGGAAGGCGGCGAGCAACAGCGCAGCACCAACAGGGCGACGAGCACCAGGGCGGCGAGCTACAGCAGCACCAGCAGGGCGACGAGCACCAGATCGACGAGCACGAGAGGGCGGCGCGCAGCAGGGCGACGAGCACCAGGAGGGCCCGCCCATCGTGATGCGCGGCTTCTTGTGATCGAAAGATCGGCTTCGGCCGCGCAATAATCCGTCATCATGACCGTCACCACTGTCATCGTCATCATCATCATCATCATCATCATCATCATCATCATCATCATCATCATCATCATCATCATCATCATCATCATCATCATCATCATCATCATCATCATCATCATCATCATCATCATCATCATCATCATCATCATCATCACATCACATCATCACCATCACCATCACCATCACCATCACCATGATCATCATCGTCATCGTCATCATTATCATCACCATAATCACCACCGTCATCATCATGACTACCGTCTCAATCGGCACCATTTGTTATCCGAGTCCGTATCCTTGCCATGTGTGTCAGAGTCTCGTATCCGTGTGCTATCCGAGTCCGTATCAATCGGCACCATGACCGTGTCCCAATAAGCACCATGTGTCAATCCGCCCCTCCTCTTGATCCTCCTCCTCCTGAGCTCGGCGCGCGCGCCTGGTTAGGGATTCACGATTTAGCCGCGAGCCAAGATGTGCCCCCCCTCCCCCCTTTATCCCCATCGGAATTTCCAAGTCTGCGTTGGGCGGCCGCATCGCTTCCCTGACGGATAGCTGGCACCCCCGCATTTTCTGGATTGATGATCTCACCCCCAGGATCCCACCCCCAGGCAGAAGCACTATGCGATAGGAGATGGGGAAACGGATGGTTGAAGAGAAGGGGCGGGTGACACAAGAGGAAACGGGAGAGGAGACTGAGGATGTTGGGAAGGATGCGGGGGTAGAGGCGGTGCCATCGGTCGGGGGCCGCCACCGCCGCCACCTCATCCACCGTTTGCCGACCATCCTCCAAATCCCCCTTCCTGCTCTCCCCCTAACTTGCTGCTCCCCCCTTAACTGCTATCCCCCTTACTGCTCACCCCCGCCGCCGCATCCTCCACCTTTCCCTCTTACTGCTCCCCCCCTACCGCCCCTCCCTCCCAGCGTCATTCCACCTCTCATTTCGCGCCTTCACGCGCGCAAGCGTTTGCTCTAGCCATGCTGGTGGTTGACTGGTCCGCCGACGGCATCCCGCGGCAAATCGGCTACCGCACACCGCCAGACGGGCTGGACCGTAACCGCCCTGGTTGGCACAACGCCAGGAACGGTATTGAGCTCGACGACGAGGAGGAGCTCGTGGCCTGCGACCTATGGGTCGGGCCACGCCGCTTCCCAGCCCCGCCGCGGCACTTGCCCCCGCGGCCCCGCTCGGACCTGCCGCCGTGGGCCCCTCACAGGCTAGAGCTGCCGCAGCCCATGCAGTGCCCAGCGTATTGGCACTTCGTGGAGTTCCGCGGGGTGCCCGAGCTGTGGTTCGTCCCGTTCTGGCTCCCGCTCCACCGCCGCGGCACGCACGACCCGCGCGTGATCGTCATGATCGTTCGCGCTGCCGAGTTCGACCATCCCTTTGGGTGCCCCAATTGTGATGGGTGTCTCTCTCTCTCTCTCTCTATTCCTATCCCTCTCCACACCTTTGAAGATGGTTCCTTTCTAAATTCGCTCGTTTCCCAGGTACTGCTGGTACTCATACCTGCACTGGCCTGGGGTGCTGCTTCCAGCAAACGAGCGCAACCAGCCGTTGGTGCCGTTGCCCCCCTTCTCGGCGGGTTGCCCTTGAGCCAGGCCGCGTGGTGCATGTAAAACAGTCCTCCTCTACCTGATCCCCCCAGCCAACCTTCTCCCCTTCCCCTCCTCTCTCATCATTCCTTTTCTTTCAGGCGATTCCCCCTCACCCCCCCGCCATCGCCCTCCAACCTCCAACTGGCGATCCCCCTGCCCCGCGCCTTCATGTAATTCAGAAGGGCCTTGCATAACAACCTTTTTGGTCCGAGATGTCGAGCCGCGTGAGGACCCCTCCTCCCGTTCGGGTGCCCGTGGCGCCCCTGGGCCAGGAGTGCCTGGAAGCGGCGCTCGTGGAACATGTCGAGTCCCACGGATGTAGGGACGCCTTTGAATCGGGGCACTACAGCTTCCTCTTGAAAGATAAAGCTGTACATGCCCCAAGCCTGACAAAGAATCCGCTCTGGTCATGGGCGAAAATGGGGGAGGGTGTTTTGGGAGATGCCTGCGTATCAGACGTCGGTCTGACGTCGGTCTGACGTCAGACTGACGTCAGAATGATATAGGGTGCAACGTCGGTCTGACGTTGATCTGACGCCAGACTGACGTCAGGATGACATAGGGTGCGACGTCGGTCTGACGTAAGACTGACGTCAAGCTGACGTCAGGCTGATATAGGGTGCGACGTCGGTCTGACGTTGATCTGACGCCAGACTGACGTCAGGAAATATAGGGTGCGACGTCGGTCTGACGTCAGTCTGACGTCAGACTGACGTCAAGCTGACGTCAGGCTGATATAGGGTGCGACGTCGGTCTGACGTTGATCTGACGCCAGACTGACGTCAGGATGATATAGGGTGCGACGTCGGTCTGACGTTAGGCTGACGTCAGACAGACGTCAGCCTTCCGACGTCAGCCTGACGTCAGTCTGACGTCAGACTGACGTCCGACTGACGTCAGGCTGATATTTGGTGCGACGTCAACCTTCCGACGTCAACCTAACGTCAGACTGGTGTCAGACTGAATTCACTTCGACGTAGCATCGCATTTAGCCCCCCCCCGTGACCCTCTCTCCCCTCCTCCTACCCATTAAAGGTCGAGACCCTCATCCAGAACATCCCCGGTGTGGAGGCGAGGTGGTCGGTGCTCCGCGACGCGTGCATCGCGGTGTTGCGTCGGTTCCACCGCCCTTTCGTGTCGTGAGCGTCGTCCTCCTTTTCAGCACAATGGTCCTCCTCCCGACCTCTCGTGCTCCTCCTACTCCCGTGGACCTGAGTCTCGTGTTCTTCGATGTCCTCGTACTCCTCGCACTTGCGTGCTACCGACCATTACCTCCTCCCGACCTCTCATGCTCGTCCATGGTCCCTGTGCTCAAGGTCATCATGCTTCCCCCCCTCCTCCTCGTCCTCCTGCTCGTCGTCGTAGTCGTTGTCGTCCTCCTCCTCCGCCCCCTCCTCCTCCCACCCCTCCTCCTCCTCTTCCCACCCCTCCTCCTCCTCCTCCTCCTCCTCCTCCTCCGTATGATCCGTAGGTACAAGACGACAGGGGGAAAATAGGAGTCCTTTTTGTCCATGCGCCCGTGTGGGCAGGGGCGCGCAAAATGTCCAATACCTGAACCGAAAGGATAGCAGGATAGATAGATCCAGGAGGGATCTGAACGGTTTTCACACACATGCAGTACCAGAAGTGGCGCTCTGGCGCGACTTGGGACTCTCAGAAAGCGATAGTCAAGTTTGATCCGCCCTATGAAGTCCCAAAACCTGCGATTTTGCAAGAGTGAAGATTATCAGACGGTTGTCTTCTAATGGGCCACTTCCCGAAATGAAAGTGATTTCTTTTAGAGACCTGCAAAAACGAGCTAACACAAAGGTTTATTGCAACATCGATGATGCGCGTTGGGTTCACACTTGTATTCCTCATCCTTTTTCTCCTCGTTTTCTGCATCCGTCGTTGTCGGCGTGGTTGCTCTCGTCGTCGTCGTCGACGACCTCCTCGTCCTCGTCCTCGCCCGCCTCCTCGTCCTCATCCTCCACCTGCGAGAACCCGAGCACTGCAAGACATGCCATCGGTCAGCAAGGCCCCCCATCCTGGCTGTGCAGTAGGCCGCAGCTGCAGCCCCCCGGGTCCGTCTCCCCAAGCGTCAAGGCCCACACCAACGGCAGTGCAGGGAGGTCCGCTGGGCTCTCCGTCCAGGCCTCCAGGCCTGGCGGGCAGGACACGCGGACGAGAAGCAAGACAAGGACGAAGAGCAACTGCAGCAGCAGGTGAAGCAGAAAAAGCACAGGCAAGAGCAATTCTATGCCCCAAACAGTGTTTGCACTCGGGGTGCTTTGCTCGTTGAGGGAAACATTGGACTTTGATATTACGGTTTCTGGTTGTCACCCTTGTGCCCTATGATGGGTTCCGCTTGATACCCCAGCCGTCGGTACCCTGTGGTTGTCGCGAATTCGCGGTGCCGCCCTGGTGCTGTATGACCGGTGCCGTGCGGTTCCCCAGTCGTTGGTGCAATATGGCTGTCGCGAATTCAGGTTGCCGCCCTGGTGCCCTATGGCGGGCGCCACATGATTAGTGCCTTGCGGTTGGTGCCCCATGATGCTGCGGCCCAAAACATTTGCTCTAATGATAAGATCTGGCCCCCTCCCGACCCCGGACTTAACGATTCCCCTTTTCGTAATCTGGATCCCCTTGTGGGCCCAAGACCGCCCAAGGACGGCCCAAGGGGTCCCCAAAAGTATGCGCACACACGCGTTGCTGAAATATCCATACACGTCGGTCGGCAGAAGTAGGTAGAAACATGAAGTAGGAAGGCGGATATAGTGCATTCGGTCCAGGTCCGCCCAGGAGAATAACAAAACACAGCAAAAGCATGCCGATTCTTGACGTAGGAAGGCGCTTGAAGTAGCTTGGGATCAGGGAATCAACGACTGCCGTGTATTTCAGAATGCATTGCAACAAAAACTGACGGCACAAAGTCCAGACGCACGCGCACACATCGAAATCAGACTCAAGACAATAGTTACGCAAGCATTTCAACACACAACATCGAAAGCCCTCCAAATTGCTCATCCTACATGTTGCAAATTGTCTTCATGCCAATATCGTACAAATCCATGTGCGGATCCGCCATGCGTTGCATCTGCGTTGATTTAGCATGCGCATTGTGCACGAATCCGTAGCAAATAATACCATGCGGCCCACACGCGCGCGCCGCCACGCGACCGTGCCGACATCATACAAAACAGAAAAACATTGAATTTCAAAGCAGCCCACGCAAGAGCTCTTAAACGACTAGCGACAACATGTTCTCCAACGAAGAATGAGTGATTGCTTGAGTTCATGATCGCGTGCAATTCCCCACCATCACCCGCATCAGCGCCATCGCCTCACATCCGTGATCGTCAACGCCAACCGCTGGCATTGCCGCCATCCTCATCACAATCACTGCATCACCGACACATGAAAGTCATCACCGTCATCGTGGTCAACAACATCGGCCACGTCATTGGCATTCCGACGGGCATCGTCATCACCGCCAACATCATCATCGTAGTCGCTGTTGTCGACATCGCCCTTGCATCGGAGAGAGCGCGTTTTACGGACGTTTGCCTTGGGAACATTCGGCGGCGCGCTTTGAAACGAAATGGGGAATGGGCCCTCCCGCAACATTCGGCGCCGTCGATGAGAACGAGGGAGACTCCCCTCACCCTTCCCCCCCCCCCTCTCGACCCCTCCCAAGGGGAGGGGAGGGTGTCCAAACCTTCCCCCATCCCGTCCACGCCGGCGCGGGCGCCGGCGCTGGCGGCCGCCAGCAGCGCCGACGGCGGGGACGCAGCGACGATGACCAGAATGGGCCCAAGGGGGGGGGCGGGGTCCATGCCCCCACCCCCCTGCGCCGGCGATCGGCGCTGGCGCTGGCGCTGGCGGCCGCCAGCAGCGCCGACGGCGGGGACGCAGCGACGCTCACCAGAGAGGGCCCAGAGACCGCAGAGAGAACACACAAATCGCCATATCGAGCCCTCGCCCCCCAGAAGCCACCGAGAGGCCCCTAGGAAGGTCCACGAGGCTTCATACATGCTCCCCAGACGCCCCCGAAACCCTTCTGACGAGACCTCAAGAGGCACCCGTTAGAACTCTGACCCAAAGCCAAAACACGGTGGCGGGATGAGCCGGAAGCCGCACCAGCACCAGCACCAACACAAACCACAACACCTGCACCACCACCACCACCACCAGAACCACCACAACCCACCACCACAACCACCACCATCATCGCAAACCATTACACAACCACCACCGAAAACTCCACCAGCACAACCACCACCACAACCCACCACAATCCACCACCACTTCAATCCACCACCACCACCACCAAAAACCACCACACCATTACCAGCGCCATCGCCACCATGGCCACCACCACAATTATCACCACAACCCACCACCACCACCGCAAACCAGCACACCACCACCACCACCACCACAACTACCACAACTACCATTACCACCACCCACCACCCACCACCCACCACCACCGCTTCCAGCAGCAGCTTCGACACCACAAACCAAAACACCAACACCACCACAACTGCCACCACCAATACCACCACCACCACCACCTCAACCCACCACCACCACCATCAAACCACCACACAATCACCACACAATCACCACCACAGCCGCCACCACCACCACCATCACCACAAATCACCACCACCACCACCACAACCACAACCCACCACCACCACCAGTCTACCACACCACCACCGCCACCACAACAACCCACCACACCACCACCACCACAAACCACCACACCACCACCACCACCGCCACCACCACCAGCACCACCAGCACCACCTCCACCACCCACCGCCACCGCCACCACCACCACCGCCACCCACGCCACAACAAACCACCACACCACAACCACCACCACCACCACCGCCACCACCGCCACCACCGCCACCACCTCAACAACCCACTACCACCACCACAAAACAACACCACACCACCACCAAACCACCATGACCACCACCAACCAACTACCACCACAACCACCACAACCACCAACACCACCCTTAACCACAACCATCAACACCACAACAAACCACCACCGCAAGCACCAGCACCACCACTACCGCCACCAAAACCACAACCCACCACCACAACCACAACCACTGCCACCACCACCACCACCACCACCACAACCACCACGACAAACCACCACACCACCACCACCACCACCACCACCTTTCCCTGCGGCTGCACCCTCCGCACCTCCCGCGACAAAGTTCGAGCTCTTGTGTTGTCATATTCCACTCATGTTCGATGAGTTACTTAAGGCTTTCATTGGCTGTACTTGGTTACGGCTAGTTTCAGAGTCCCACAGACATCCGAAGACATACTAAGACACATCTGTTTTTCATTATTATCGCCGTCACCGTCGCCAACGCAATCGCCACGACCATCATCATGATAACGCTCGTCATCCTCATCATCAGCATCGTCGCCATCGTCATCAGCAGCATCATGCGAGCCCCATCACCATCATCGTCCTCATCATCCGCATCGCCATCACCAGCAGCATCATCATACTCACCATCATGCTATGATTTGTATCATCACCATCACCATTATCATTGGCATCGTCATCGCCACCGCCATCGAGCGCCACCAGCGCCATCAGCACCACAACCTCGTTACATCGCCATCGGCCGCAGCATCCAGGCCTCGGGAGGCCCTGCGCGCCCCGGAATGCCAGAGCGCGTAGATCACCGAACACTTGGGGCCTCTGGAATCCTGGGGCCCCTGGAGCCCCAGACCCCCATCAACCCTTAGGCCCTGGGGGGCCCTGGGCGCCCCAGAGCCCCTGGGGCCCTTGGAACACTTGGAGCCTCTGGAACCATAGAAGCCCCTGGAGCCCCAGACCCCTATACTGAACCCCTAGGCCCTGGGAGGCGCTGAGCGCCCCAGGCCCTGGGAGGCAATGGGCGCACCAGACCCCGAGCCCCTGGGGCGACAGGAACACCCGAGCACCCGAGATCCCGACCCCCAGATCCACCCTAGGCGGGATCGGAGCGGTTGTGCCAAAAGGCATATGGCAGGAATGGCTGTGATAACATCGGCACCCCATGGCGCAGCATTGGCACCGCGATTTGGTAATTCAACGAATCGCTTGGCAAAAAGAATTTGCATCGATCTGGCCAGCAGCAGATGCGCGTGATCACCGACCGCCGGCATCCGACGCCGACATGCTCTTGCACGCGCGGCAGCGCGCATCACGTTGGAACGGTGCGCGATCGGCGCCTCCCGCGAACAAGCGAAGCGCAGTGCCCGAAAAAAACGGGCTACCTCTCGGTAGTTGAGACCACGGATGCGCGCGCGCGTGAATTTAAATATGCCACAAGCGAGACTCGCAGGAGAAGCCCCAAGCGAAACGCTCAGGACGTTTTTCATGCTACACCTGTGGCCCCTGGAGCCATGCGAACCCCTGGCGCGTGGCCGCTGGAACTCCTGGGGCCCGCGATGCCCCCGACCCCATAGACTGCGCCGCATCGGTCCTGGGAGGCCCTGAACCCCCCGACCCCGAGCACCTGGAGCTCCCTGCAACACTTCGGGCCACTGAAACCGCGGGACCCCATGTGGCCAACCGACCCCTGGACTGAACATCATGGACCATGGAAGGCCCTGAGCGCCCCGACGCAATAGGGCGCCTTGTCGCCTCTGGGACCATTTGAACCCCTGGAACCCCAAACCCCTAGACTGAACCCCTAGGCTCTGGAAGGCCCTGAGCGCCCCAAAGACCCTGGAGCCCCTGGAACACGTGGAGCCTCTGGAACCCCGAGAACACCTGGAGCCCCCGACCCCCAGACTGGCCCTCTAGGCCCTGGGGGGCCCCGAGCGCGCCAGAGCTCCGAGCCCCTGGAGCCGCGAGACAGCCCGAGCATGCGAGATCCCGACACCTCGACCCCGCGCAGGAGCGGAGCGGTTATGCCGAAAGGCACCGGGGAATACTAGTTGTGGTAACAAAGACCGGGCATCGATCTGGCAACAGAGAATCGCACGGGGAAGCCTTGTCATCGATCTGTTGGCAAAGAAAACGATGTGTAAATCACAAAATTGGCACCAGCGACGAGGAGCGACACGCCCGTGGACATGTCATCCACGACGGCAGCCGAGCACAGCGCAAGCTTGACAACACGAGGGCTGCGCACAGACGTGCCCGCGCACAAAATGGGATGCGGCGCCCCCGCCCCCCCACCCCCACCGCTGGGGCAAACGATGGCCCAAGCGAAACGCACGGGAGGAAAGCCCGAGCGAAGCGCCTAGGGCACTTTTTTTTTTCCATGCTGCACCTGGAACCCCTGGAGCACCCGTAACCTCTGGAACGAGTTGGGCCACCCCTAGAACCCATGAGGCGCCCTTTACAGCGGGGGGGGTGATGTGATAATAAAAGGAAGTAGGGTGCCTCTTCGAGAACTCGCCATCGCTCAACCGCCCGCCCCCCGTGCAGTTCGTTTTTGTTCGCGCGCCCAGCAGCGGCGACAATGGAACTTCGACGCTCGAGATTCGAGGTTCGGGCTGGGGCCCACATGCACCAAACAACTACAGTTTGATATAACTGGCCCACCAGCCGCATGTCAGCGACCACACGCCCGAGCGATGCCGATAAACTGGCGGGCGCACAGCCGTTCTCACCTCATCTGGACACGGAACTCGCGGTCGTGCTACACCAGCCTGTCGCGCGCTACCTCGTTGAGTATGATGCGCGTCGCGGCCAGCTCCTCGCCTAGTTCGTAAGTCTCGATGCGCAGCGCTCGAATCCTGACCCCTGCTCTCCAACGCCCCGGGCGCGCGCGCCGGCGGGGCCGATGGGGGATGGCGCGGAACGCTCGGCTTTTAGGGCGGTCACGGTGAGGAGGGCGGGGAACGAGGCCGAGGAGGAAGAGGGCGCGAATGGCGAGGGCCAGGATGCGGATCGGACGAAGAGGAGCAGGCGAAGGACGAGCAAGGGCGCACGCGGCGCGCGCCAAGGCAGGGGGGGGAGGGCTGCCCAGCAATGCCATTGCGCCCCATCCCGCCTGGGCGCGCACCGCGTCTGCGTCTCGCTGTTGCAGCAAGAGCCTCGCGGGCTCGTCATCAGGGCCTTCGTGTCAGACATCGGTGGTCGGGGTGGCGCAGCGCTGCGCGAGTGCGACAGGGCCCGCCCCCGCATGGCGGGCCCCTTTGGGCCGACGCGTCACGGGCGCCGACCCGCATCCTTCATATTTCTCCTCCTCCTCCTCATCCTCCTCCTGGTGCCCCTCCTCCCCCCCGCTCCTCCTCCTTCTCCTCCTCCTCCTCCTCCTCCTCCTTCCTCCTCCTCCTCCGCCCCCCCCCGCCCCTCCTCGTCCTTCTCCCTCCTCCGCCTCGTCATCGCCCGCATCGCTATCGGCATCGCCATCGGCGCCGCCGCCGTCGTCATCAGCATCATCAGGGGCACGTGCAGCACCACAATCATCGTTATCATTATCATCATCAACATCATAATTATACTCATCAGAATCACCAGCAACAACCCCATCGTCATCACCACACTCATCAGCATCATCACCATACTCATCATCGTCATCATCATCAGCCGCACCACCTCAGTCGTCGCCATCGTCCGCAGCACCATCAGCAGCACCCCCATCACAATCATCGCCACCATCACTATCACCACCACCATCAACAACACCGGCAACACCACCATCATCACCGCCACCATCAGTGCAACAATCCGCGTCACCATCCTCGGCACAGCCCGCATCATCAGCACGTCGCCGTCACCATCAGCATCGTTGCCATCGACATCGGCACAGTCGCTAACACCTTTGCCATCATTATCGCACCCGTCAGCATCATCATAATTCGCATCGCTATCAGCATCGTCATCACCGCCAGCACAATCATCGCCGTCACCATTGCCACACCCAACACCACTGCGGGCAAACCAGGGGGGCCTGGGGAGGAGGTCTCCAACATTCGCCTCCTCCTCCTCGCCCTCCCCCCCCCCCTCCTTATCCCCTTCCTTCTCCTCCCACTCCTTCTCCGTGTCCTTCCCCCTCTTCTCCTCATCCGCCCCCTCCTTCTCCTCCTCTTCTTTCCCAATCCCCCTCGTCCTCACCAGCGTCATCAGCATCATCAGCGCCAGTATCATCACCATCAGCATCGCCGCCGCCATCGCCAACCGCATCGTCACCAGCGTCAGCAGCATCAGCAGTGCCACCACCATCGCGGTCATCGCTCTCATCGCCAGCATCACCACCGTGACCATGACCACCACCACCATCGCTAACATCGCCAGCACCACCACCACCACCCTCATCATCAGCATCGTTATCAGCAGCACGATCCCCGGCACCGCCCTGGTCAGCAGCATCGTCGGCATCAGCATCTCCAGCAGAATCATCGTCAGCAACATCATCCGTATCATTACTGTCGACATCAGCATCGTTATCGCCAGCGCCCCCACCACCAGTACAATCATCATCGCCGCCGTCGTCAGCAACATCTTCGCCACCATCACTATAACCGTCGCCAGCACCATCGCCGTCGTCAGCAGCATCGCCAGCAGCATCATCACCGTCGGCGTCGCGGGCAAGAACGGTGCGACCATGGGGAGGGGGAGGAGGAGCATCTCTACGATGACGAGGAGGAGAAGCGCGTGACCCGCGCATCTTCACTTCGAACACTTGTCGCCCCCCTTCGCGTCTCACTCCGCCCGCCTCATCATCCTCCGCGTTGCCCCCGCCCCCGCAGAAACCTCTGCACCCACCGGGGAACCTGCGAACGCGGCCCCTGAGAAGCCGCGCGCCCCCTGGGACACCGACACCCTGCACGACCACCCCCCCTTGGGAAACCGCACGTCGCCCCGGCTCTCCCCCAGGCCCCCGCCCCCCGGGGCAAATCCACGACAACCGCCGCGGCGCGCCCCCGCGCGCTGCCAGCTATCTGCGGAACACCGTTGCCGCGGGGAGGTGGGTGGGATGAGACTTACTACATCATTCATCTGTACACATACATGTATACATACACAAACATAAGTATAACCAGAACTACAAGCGAGTCCTGCTCCAACGTGGTGCTGATTTTTCAACGCGTGTCGGCCTGCTTCTGAATGTGCGACAAGTACCATGTGACCCAGCTGTTGACTGCGAACTTGGTCCGATTGATGGAGGCCGCCCTCTTCCGAGTGTCGAAATTCTCGGACTCGCCCCGATAATTGCGGGGCCGCGCAGGGTTGCCAGCCCAACGGGCCTGGTCGACAATGTGCTTGCCGAAGACATGCCACTTCATCTGGCAGCTGTGGCCAGTGGCAATCCATGCGTTCATGGCCCAATCGACCACGGCTTGCAACCGTAGCAGCGCTAACTCTTCCATGTTACGGGGCTGCGACTTCATGACCGCGCAATATTCAACCATGCCCTCGCCCACTGTCAACGGCTTTACGCCGCCCAGCTGGACGGGGTCATGCCTGTCAGGTAAGTCTCGGCCACTGCCTGAGGATGAACGCAATAAGCGGTAACAATGACCTGTTCTTGCCAGCCTTGAGTTTGAGATATGGGGAGTTCCCATCACCGAGCATCTGCACCTTTCGCCCGATCGGGCGCTCACGATCTGGAACTGCTTCGAGGCATCACCCATGGCAGCGCCCACCTCATCACGGCCCGCATCCACGCAATTGCGGAAATACCCCAGCCGAACGAGCAACCACAAAACCGCTGCCATGAAGTAGGCGAGGATACCAAGGTCCGCAAAATGCATTGAATCGAACAAGACATGCTCCAATCTCAAACCTGGAACGCCTGGCTGGACGTTCCGCACGGTAAACAACCGATTGGTAAGGAAGAGGCTATTTGGGGGCCTCGCGTACGCGAGCATCTGGCGACGCTCGGGCGGGGCGTCGCTGCACTTCTGGCCGCGCCAGAAGTCTGGCCGCCCAAGAAGGGCGCGTTCAATGCACCCCCCCAGCCGGAGAGCGGGAAACTCATGACGAGTGTGCCGCTGAAGAGTCGCACCACCACGTTTCCTTCTGACCACGCAGTTACCCCGCAAGTCTGGATTTGGCTATCAGACACGTCGTGAAAGGCAAGCGTACTGTTTTCGCTGGCGCATTGGTGCTGAAGAGGTCAGAGAACTCTGCGCGATTCTCAAAACATCGCAAACAACCAAACTTGCTGCGGTAGTCTGGCCAGCCGAAGGTGTTCGGCATTTCGTCCAGATCCGCGCCTACCTCCACGAGAACAATGCGGCAATTGCCACGCACAGATGGGAGCGACGGCCTTCCCGCCAAGCGGCTTCGCCAAGAGTCCTCTGGCCAAGGCAGCCCTGTCGAGTCTCCTGCAGGCTGGTGCCTTGCAGCAGCCACCTGGAAATCAAACGAGATTTTGTCTAGGAGAGGCTGGAGGGCGTGCGACCCTCTGCACCCGCGCCTGCAGAACATCCGGTGGCGGTACTGGTCCACGAGAATACGCCCATCCTGGTGAAGAGTGGGCATGGCGAGCCGCCGCCCCGCAATAGAGACGCCAGCCACTGCGGCCCTGGATGGAGCTCCCGAGGCCGCGAAACGTATGAGGAGTGTGCGCGCGTTGGGCGAATGCGAGCGCAGCCGCTGCGGCCGTTGGTGGAGCCCCCGTTGGAGCCGCGAAGCGCGCGGCACCCCCCCTTCTTCCCTTCCCACCTGTCCCCTCTCACTTCTGAGGGGGGGGGGGGGGGCGGGGTGCGGGGGGGGGGGGGGGGGGGGGGGGGCGCCTGGCGGGCCCGCGATCGGCTCGCGAACGGGAGATCCTTTCCCTGGCCAGATACCCAGGGAACGGATCCATCCATACACATATATACACATACACACATAGGGACATGTATGTGTAGATGTGTACACACAGGGGGTCTCAAAAAAAAAGCAAACACCTAATGTCCGCCGTCCTCCTCCCCCCTCGAACCGCCACCCCCCCTCGAGGGTGCCCGCGGCAACCCCGAAGGACCAGACCACGCGCTGCCCGCGACCCGACCCCCGGCGCGACCGCCAGAAGGCGCACAAAAAACGACGCGCAGGCCGTTGTGGCCCGCTGGGGTGGGAAGGGTGGCCCCACCGCCGCGCCGCTCCACGGCGGCCGTTAGGCTCGGCGGCAAGGCCCGCGGGTCTGGCGGGCTGGCGCAGCGGGAATTGCATGACCCCCCCCCCCCCCCCCCCCCCGTGCACCACCCGCGCCAAAGAGCAGCCGTGAAATAACATAGCACAGCACGAGTTAGTGCGCAAGCAGACCGTTGTCGGCGTCAAAGTGCAACTTATTCCTCGGGCGAGGGCTGGGCGGCAAACGGCGCCATCGATTGCCGAGGCCTGCGCTGGACCTCCAGCACAGGCCCTGGCAACCGAGGCACTGGCCCAAATCTGCCCATCCCCATGCGCCCCCCCAAGGGCTCAGTTTTTTCGGATCTGGGCGCGTGGCCCGCCCCTCGAATCGCCGCCCCCCCCCCCCTCTTCGCGCCCCCCCCTCCCATCCATCCCCCCCCCCCCCCCCCCCCCTTCCGATCCCACCCCTTCCCCCCGCCCCCGCACCTTCTGCCCCTCGCGCCCCCCCCCCCCCCCCCCCCCCCTCCCGCGCATTTCGCCAAGCACCGCGGAGAGAAAAAACACCCCCCCCCCCCAAAAAAAAAAGGGGGTGACCGAGGGGGGAAAATCATCAACCGCTTCCTCGTCTCCCCCCGCGCCTCCCGGGGTGGCCAGGGGGCCGCGGGTGAATTGTAGGCGCCGTCGTTCGATTCCACCGCAGTCGGTGGGGCCCCCTATGGGGGCTACCAAACGCGCGCAGGGCTTGTCAAAATGGGCGCGGCGGGCGCGCGCGAACGCTGGCACGCGGGCCGTCGGCGGGGCCCCTTGCCACGGGCGGCCGCCGATGGGGCCGCGGAGCGCGTGGTGCGCGCGCCGTGATGAACGGGGCGGGCGCGCGCGGGCGCCGGCATTTCGGCTTTCGGGCGGGCCCCCGCTGGGGCCGCGAATCGCGCGGGGGGCGTGCCCCAATGGGCGCGGCGGGCGCGTGCGGGCGCTGGCATTCGGGCCTCCGGCGGGGCTCTGCTTGGCGCCGCAAAACGCGCGAGGGGCGCGCCGACGCGGGCGGGGCAGGCGCGCGCGAACGCTGTCATTTGGGCATTCGGCGGGGCTCTTGCAGGGCAGCGAAACGCGCGGAGGGCGCGCCAACGCGGGCGCGGTGGGCGCATGCGAGCGCCGGCATTTGGGTCTTCGGTGGGGCCCCGCATGGGGCGCCGAAGCGCGTGATGGGGGCGTGCCGCAACGGGTGCGATGGGCACGTGCGATCGTTGACATTTGCGCCTTCGGCGGGGCTCCCGATAAGGCCGCGGAGCGCGTGGGGGGCGTGCCAAACTGCGCGCGGCGGCGTCCCCGAACGCTTGCATTTGCGCGTTCGGCGGGGCCCCCCATGGCCAGCCCCCGCAGCCGCCCCGCCTGCCCGCTCGCGCCGCTCCCCGCGCCGAGCACGGCCGACGCGGGCCTGCCCTGGGCGCGCCGCTGGGGGCGCCAGCGGTGGCCCTGGACAGGCCCGCAATCAGGCGCAGCGCCCCCGCCGCCCATCGCGGCGGGCGCGCGGCGTTGCTCGCGCGGCGCGGGCTAGTTCGCATTTACATAGGTCTTGCACACACGCGCACAAGCACGCGCGCATGCGCATGCAAATGCGCAGCTGCACCACCAGTTGCGACGGCGCCCCCCCTCGCAATTGGTGGCGCCGCAGAGCAGCTGCACCGCCGCAAGAGCAGGGGGCCGCGCGGGGCCCGACATCGATGCATGCGGGTGCGTGCGCATGTCTGTCGATGTACGTGGATGCCTGCCGATGTTTGGTTGTCCGCCGCAAGTTGCGGATGTCTGTGAGCGCCTGCTGGACAGGCAAAACGTGCGAAACTTGCGCTGTGCGCTGCAAGCCCCAAGTGCGATTGAGAAACATGCATCAACTTGAGAAATGCGCGTTGCGATCCAACAGCACGTAACAGCTTGCGCTGTTTGCTGCAAACACCACGTGCGATTGAGAAACATTCACCAACTTGAACAAATGTGCGTTGCGATTCAATAACAGCTATCAACTTGCACTGTTAGCTGCAAGCACCACGTGCGACTGAGAAACATCCAACGACTTGGGAGAACACGCGTTGCGAAACAGTAGCACCTGGAAGCTTGACCGCACTTGTGGAATCACGACACAACATTTGCGTGCGTGTGCGCGTGCGTGAATGCGTGCGTGTGTGCGTGCGCGCGTGCGTGCGAGGGTGTGTGTGTGTGTGTGTGTGTGTGTGTGTGTGTGTGTGTGTGTGTGCGTGTGAATGTGCGTCGTGTGTGTGTGTGTGTGTGCGTGTGTTGTGTGTGTGTGTGTGTGTGTGTGTGCGTGTGTGTGGTGTGCGTTGCGTGCGTGCGTGCGTGCGTGCGTGCGTGCGTGCGTGCGTGCGTGCGTGCGTGCGTGCGTGCGTGCGTGCGTGCGTCGGCGCGCGCGCGCGCGTGCGGCAGGGGTGCGAATGCCACCAGCGCCCGCATCTGCAACGATAGCAGGACGGATCCATCCTGCAATGGTTGCGGACGAGAGGGGGGCTTGGGATTCAGACTAACGAATCATGGAACCATCTTGCGCCCCACGGTTCAAAACTAATGGCGCTGTCGGCCCAGGCCCCACTCGGGCGCAATGGAGAGAACCCCCCCCCCCGAACAAAAAACACGGTTCTCGTTGTTTGGCAGCCCGGCGCCGCTCTTGGTGCGTCTTCGCGCGTTTTCGGGGCAGCCTTGGGCGCCCCTGGGCGCCCCTGGGTTCTGGGGCAGGCGCGGGGCAACCTTGGGGCCTTGAAGGGCCATCGGAAACAACGTTGCGAAAGGGCCAATACACCAAACGCAACCACAATCAGTTGCGCGCTGTGGGGCTGTGCGTGGAGGGCCTCGGGAGCACCTGCTTGAAAACCAAGTTGGGGCATCCGATCCTTCTTGGAGCCTGTCTTGGGCCAGGTTGGGCGCTCAGGCCACTCCGCCCCCAACAGCCCCCCCCCCCCCTTCCAGCGCAGTAGGGCGGGGCGCGGGGGGCGCGAGAGGAGGGGGGGGGCGCTGGGGGCGCCCCTCGCCCAAGCGGGGGGGGGGGGGGGGGGCGACCTCGCCCAGCAAGCTGCGCCCAAGTGGGCGGGCGGGATTCGCCCGATTGCGCCCGGGGGGGGGGGGGGGCGGCGAAACCGATCTTGCTGCTGGGCGTCGTTGCCTAGCGGGCTTGCGACATGAGCGCGCAACGCCGCATGTCCAGACCGACCGTCGGAAAACTGCGGTTCTCGTTGTCGTCGTCGTCGTAGTTCGCCAGCCGTTTCGCCCGCTCTCCCACGGCCGATCTAAGCGCGACGGTTGCGACGCCCACTTGCCGCGGGCGCCTGGCCATCGAGCTTCGCGCAATCCATGAAGAGCCGCCCAGGTATGCAGAGCCCAGGCCCGACCTCCTCGACAACGTCGTGGCGGTAGAAATTGGTGCGCAGCAAAAAGGCGCAGACGGCGCCAGAGTCCGCGCACATGCGCGGCCCTCGCGCGCATTGCAGGGCATCTTCGTGTAGCGCAGCAACTGGCGTTCCGCCTCGGCGCCGCCGAAGAGCTTGTACACTGCTGGCGAAGCATTTCTGCGGTGCGCCACGTCGCGCGCCAGGCCCCCTACGCCAAGCCCCTTCGAGCGGGCGGTTAAGGCGCGCAGCTTCAAGAGTAGCGATGCGGACATCTCGCCAGCGAAGAATAACCCCAGCAGCGCGTGGCGGAGTTGCTTAGGATAGTCAGCCTCGGAGTCGGGGCCGCGAACCACAGCTCGCGCATGCTTGCGAAGACGAGCCACCCCAATGGCGCTGTCTGCCATCGCCAGCTCGCTGCCGCCCTTCCG